TTTCTGTACTTGTTCTTAGTTAAATGTCTGGAAGATGCAAACTGACCAAGACGTGACTGTGCTTTACCTTGTGGTTCTATCGCGGTTCATAGAGGGGAACCTACTCATGAGCTGTTCGCGTAATAATGCAAACTGCAACAATGGAATAACAGATCAGGTGTTGCAGGAGCGGCACATAGTAGGAATCTACAACTGGAAAATGAAGTCTGTCAAAGTGTGAGGCTATGGTAGCATCAGAATGCAGACAGAAGTCACCTGGACAGCAAAGGAGAACGGTCCAGAGATCCATCTCTAATGTCCTGTCTCACAACATGGAGTGGTTCCTTCCTGAGCTAACGATGAGAAACTTGTGTGCTGTGCTCTTCCTTAATCACTTGCATTCCACCAATTTCCTCCTTTCTGCTTGTGGAAAAAATAAACTCTTCGAGGTGGGGTTCCCTGCTGGCTTTTATAACGGGCTTTGAGGACTGTTCAGAAAGACTGAACCAGTAAACTGGATTTTCCCTTGACATTGTTTTGTTAAATCCCTGGATTTCTTAAGGACACATGTACGGGGCGGGGGGGTGTGTGTGTTGGTTTTTAATTGTCTTTGACTGGACAGTATAAAGATAAAAACCCGCTCTCCACTAGTTCAAGGACTAGATAACTGTTGAGATGTCAAGATATACATCTGCATAATAAGAAATTGCTCTTGTGAAGTGGTCTTACACAAAATGCTGGCAGAATGCAATGCTGAGTGGATATCCTCGTACTTAAAGCGTGGACTTGGCGCGAGACATGGAATTCAGGTTCGCAGCCTACGGTAGGCACTGTGAATGCTTGGGTGAAGGTTGCACGCCTTGAAAACGAAGCAGGGGGTGTCTGTGCAGGGGTGGTTTGAGCAGTAGAGGCCAAGGTGGAGGGTGAGTTAAAAGCGCTCATTTCTTTCACCCTTTATTTTGTGCAGATTCAGTAGAACAGGCATAGCACAGTGAGACCATACTTGACCCACCCACCAGACTGCATCTTAGAGTCAGATTTCTGTTAGTGACGTCAGACTTCACATCACAAAACCAGAAAAAGTGGACTGCACAGAATCATTTGAGCCTTGAAATTTTATTATCTTGTTTGCATCAACCAGTTATTCCTTTCAGCACCAATAAAAGACAAAAACCCCTCCCTATTGTTCAAAATACCTTGTTTTTATCAGGTCTGAGATTGTGGTTTTCTCGCAGGTAAAGAAACCAATGAAAATATTTAAATTTTTATTTTTTTAATACATTTATAACAAAATGTCAGAAGGTGTGTGCTTACCATATAAAAACATTAGGTTCCAGAAGGATACAATACCGAAAAATCATTGAAATAAAAAAGGTTATTCTTATTATAGGATTTCTAAACCTCAGCAATAATACAAGTCTTTAAAAGCATCAAGATTATATCTAAAACAAGATGGCATGGAAAAATGAGACCTTCAGTAACAATTTGACCCTCGTTGTAATGGATGATAAAATTGGGAGTTTTTCAAAGTGCTTGAATTGTATTTCTGCTCTCATCCTATAGTGGCAGGAGGAGGTAAAAATGCTTCATTTCTGAGCTGATGATATGTGCTGACAGTGATGTGCTGCTGTGTGATCCCAGGGTAGCTCAGAGACCAAACTGGGGACAGTCAGATCGGCTTAATCTGGACCACCAAACAAAGGCCTTTTTTTTTTTAATTTTATTTTTTAAATGAAATTCTTTATTGGAATTCTAAGTTCCTTAAATCTTACTGTCTTACCCAACAAGTAGGACTGATGGTCTAGCCAGACTAGCTGAGAGTGCTTCTGGGACAACACCTTGTCATAATACTAGCACAAGAGAGGTAAACTCGTTACACCAGACAGCTTTCTCAAGGGTTTCTGTACAGCAGGCTACACCTCAGCGGGCTGCAGGCTTCTCTTGGAGCCACTCTGTGGTACGGTTTGAGGTTTGGTCGCTTTAGCCTCCAGTGTGTGATGGAATGAAACTAGCTGACCACTGCTTGAATTAGTTCTAGTAAACGCTTTTTCACATAGCGCGAACACTAGGTGTTACTACCCTGGTCCTCAGTGGCTGAGCTGTGGTGCAAAGCAGGTGGATCACATGTCCCTCAGACAAACAGTGCACAGATTAACTGGATCTGAATATGCCCCAGAGGCTACGGTCTGTAGGTTGTGTTTTTGAAGTGATCTAAAGGTGCCAACTTTGTAAGGACCTGACATCCTTGAAGCTTCTGGAAGTTCTTAGTTTTCAGCTGTCCTAGTTTGTGTCTTTTGTTCACTTGTTCTAGAAGTGCTGTCGTAAAATGCAAATTGAACATGAGAAACAGAAGATGTTATCTAGCTTTTATAAAAACAGATGACAGTTCATCTACAGTATCCCTGTTGATTGGCAGTTATTAAACCAAGAATAGCATTATCACCCACTTCTTGAAGATACCCGAAATTCCTGTACAAAGTGGGGTAAGCATAGTAGAGTAAGCTTAACTCAAACTTCTTATAGATAACATCCTGCTAATAAATTGGGTCATGCTATCCTTAAGCAAAGTGGCATTGACATCTGAAAAAGCTACCCAGGGTTTGATTTCCTGGGCATGTTCTCCCTGTGCCCCCCGCTCCCCCGCCCCCCCTTTTTTTTTTTTCAATTGAAATATTCTATTACGCCGTATCTGTCTAAGGCTTGTAATGATTGATATCCTGCCGGTACAGGCATTGCTAAACGATTCTCTGTGAGGCAGTGTCCCCCGCTGTGGTAGTAGTGGTGTAGCCAAAACTCATTTTTTCTCCAGGATGTTACTTTTCTGGCAAGGAAAGCCTGTTGGTTACAGTTTACTGGTACAGATGCTCTCTGACTCCTGTAAGCACACCAAGGCATCAGAAGGCACAGGATCAATTCCAAAAAGCAAGGAGCATCTGTACAGTGGTGCCACAATGCTGTACCCCCCAGCATCACTTGCTTGCTAAGTTAGATCCTTAAGACAGTAAATTAGTAAGAACTACCTAGAGTGATTAAATGTATGTGTATTCTTTAGAGAGAACATTTTACAACTATCCATTTCTTGATCACTGAGAAACTAAGAACATCAAAATCTAAAACAGTTTACTTGAAATTTGAAAAAATACTTCTCAACGTATCTCAAAAAGTTGACAAAAGTGCCTGGTTTTTAGTCAGCACAAAGCCACGGAACTAATTTAAAAGTAATTTAGACCATGTTAGTTTTACTGTAAGTAATGTAACATTGTTTGGCAGTAGTTTTATGATTATATCCCACACAGTGTCAAATTCAGCTCCTGCAACTGATACTTAGTGAAGTTGATATCAAATTGTAATTTACATTGTTAGGAAAGCTATTAAAAATACTGTACCTTATATTTAATCTTACTACTGAGAAATAGCTGCTGGACAGCACACAAATTGCTACTGATACTGTTTGGTTTTTTTAAAAAGGTTAATAAAAGACAAGCAAGGTAGAAAACTGGATTAAAAGCATTGTTTCAGGTACAAGTTTTTCTGAATCGGGTGGAGAGATAAGAAACCAGAAAAACACACTGCACATATGTGCACCCTCTGTATAAAGAGAAACGTACAAAGTGGGAAACTGGTGGTGCGCTGGGATGGTACGCTAAAGTCTCTGACTCTGTAAACTTGAATTCCTAATTTTATGAAAAAGGGGAATTGAGTCTGGCTCCATTTTTGAGTCCCCATGGGTTACACTTGTAGACTACCCCACGGTTTGGCACAGTACACTTCTAAGAGGCAGTCTCTGCTGAAGGGACGCCAGGACTGGAAAATGAGGCATAAAACGTGTCAAGACCAGGTGCAGTGGGAGAGCACGAGCAGTGGCCTACTACCTGTTTGGAATTAGCCAGTACTTTCATGACTATTAAGAGTTTCTCTACGTGCAAAATCAGGCTGATCTAAGTAAAAGTTCCATTGTTTACTGTAGCTAATTCAGCCAGTACCAGAGGCTGTGCAGACTGGGATTTCTAATTTAAATCTACTCTGATTTAGCTGAAGATGATTCCTAGCAGGTGTAAACAAAACCGAAACAGGAGCATCTTCAGGAGTTTGTGGCCAGCGTAACTAAAACAGTGTACTTAATGGAGTAAGTGTAAGTATTAGATTACAAATTCTCTGTGTTAAAAAGAGTTAATGTAAGAGGAAATAACACTAAAATTGAACAGGAAGTAGGCAGAAGAAACTAAGTATCGGTTAAAACGCAAGGGGTCTCATTGTTCTCCCAGCAACACAAACCCTTCTGAATTTAAATCCCTATAAAAACCGCGAAGTCTCGTTATGGACCTGATTCTCAGTTTTTTGTTATTTTTCTTAAGGTTACAGAGGGCGGGTAGGTCAGGCCATGGGGATAAGATGGCATAGAGGAGCCCCACATGTGAAGAGCTGCAGAGGAAAAAACGTCCAAATTAGATGGCAGGACCCCTATGAAAGTCTGTGAGCGCCTAACAAATGGAGACTTGTGTCTCACAGACACAACAAACCCTCTGCTCCTAGGAAGTGGTTACCTAAGGCCAAGAGTCACAGTTCTATTCTCTACTCTCTAGCTAGCCATGCTACACTTTAAGTGTACTGATTCCTTTAGAAAATTGTTAGGTTATCCTGCCTTATCAATCATACACTGTTCTACGCTTTTTCCCCCAAAATGTCACTTACGTTTATTTTAACTCTATATCTAGCATGCATTTTACAAGCTATTTCCCACTTACTCTTTCTAGCTAAGGCAGCATGTTGGCTCTGGTGTTACCAATGGTACTACAGGAATCTATTCACTCTACTGTAACGTACATATCATCCCATACCATAATTCAGAACTGGCCCACATATGGGAAAGAAAGAAAAGACATTGCAGGGGAACTGTATTTCTTAAGGGAATAAGTTGCGCTTAGAAAGCTAAAGGCCCAATTCTGGAGTCGTCATTCACAAAATGCTTCAAAATTTCAGTGGGAACACAGTTAGAATAAGGGTAGAACTGTGTTCTTAAAGTCTTAATTCCAAATCTTTTAAGCATCCTTAAATCAGACAGGAAGTTATTGGTCTGCAAATTGAATGGAGTTTTTGTTTGTTGTAAGGTCTGTCTGTACTGACAGAAGGGTTTGCCAGTCCCAGAACGCCTTGCTTTGGCTGGTATCTGATTTTTGAACTCACTTCCATTCTGATATTCCCCATGGTATCTTACTGACTATTTTATCTCAGAGTGGCATGCAGTGCGGGCGCATGCTACTGATGCAAGCACGCTACTACAACTTTAACAGGCTAAAAAAAGAAAAAAAGCTTTAGCTTCTTAGTTATACAAAGAAATGATGCAAAAAACCATTGAGCAGCACTAACTCACAGACTAATTACAAACTAAATTGTGCTATATATTAGTATAAAAACATGTTTTAGTAAGAATGGCACTGGTTCAGAAGGAATTAGGACTTCCATCTTGGTTCCGTTCGGTCCACAGTGAAAGCATTGTAGTACAGGCCTGCCCTGTTGCCTGAGCAACTTGTGACAGTGGCTTTTGGCCACAACCCCTTCCATTTCTTCCCTTTTTATATCCGCCATTGTTGGTACATTCTGGGAGTAGCCCGGGTCAGGTCTGCTCATCTTTCCTAACGTGGCACCAGAATAGTTCATTCTTATCCTCTGATATTTTCTTAGTATCGTTAACGTTTCCCTCTTCTAATCTCTCAAAGCTGGTCAGTTTTAAGGGTCATCTTCTCCTGTAGACACCATGAGACGCATTGCTACTGGTAGGTGGTCTGTCAAGCCTGCTAACTGGGTAATAAAGCTGAACTCTTCCACTTCCTGCAGAAGGAAAACAAAAGTAAGAAAGAAGGAATTGGAGAACTGAGCTACACCAGGCACCAGGACTCAGCTTTTATGCCTCTCTTTAGTTTACTTTGAACTACCTTACTGTATTAGTAGATGTACGGGACCAGTCTAGCTTTGCTGGGCTAATGGTAAACTATCTGCCACACAGGGCATGTCAGTGTGGTGCAGCTGATGAGGTGAACCGTTTATACGATACGCCGTTGAACTAGTCTGGGTGAAACCTGTGGTATCTTTTCTTTCCATTTACAGTAACATCTGTGTTGTTCCAGATGGACTTCTCTGTAGTGGTGCAGTAGGTGATCCAGGGACGTAAGGAGGCACTCGCCTGGGAGGAGGGGCTGGCCGTACCGTACTAGATGTGGCATGTAGCTAAAAAGGAAGCCTGTCTTCATTAGCTCGAGGTGCTAAATTTAGTGGGAACTTAAGGCGATCAGGAACCCTGCTCCTCACAACTCTGAATCGCAGCCTTTGTTCTGGCAACGTTTTATAGGACCGAATTAAAGTTCTGTAGGAAATACTGCCTGCTTCCCAGCTTCCGAAAGCTGGATGGAGCAACCTTAACGCTCACTTGACACAATGTAGTTGTTCCCTCCTACGGGCCAGGTACTTACTTTGCCAGTACTTTGGGAATTCCTTGCGGGAAGCACAGATATCATAGTTCTCTTTATGCTGCCAGCATCAGCCTTATCAAAGACCTAATCTGGGCCAAAACTATTCAAATATTGGTTTTGTTGCTGTTTGTGCAAAACGTAAAATGGATTTACCATACAGATGCGCCGGGGCATTTGTGCATCTGAAACAAGAAGCCTGAAACGGTGCGCTACAAGTTCCCCTTCTGGTTAGCCCGTGTCAACTCCTGCCTGCGTATCGCAGACTTGTAACTTAGGTAGGTTTTCACAGGCATAATCAAAGAACATCCAGATGTTTGAAAAGATTAAAAAACATTCAGTCTGCTGGCATGGAAAGCATCAGCCAAGACTCTCAGTCTGGCAAAAGTTTAGGGAATGGAAAGGAGGGCTTTTGTTTGTTTGTTTTTGAAGAGCAGCATATCTACCAATATTGCTACCAGAATCCCTCAACTTGTCTCAAATTTGTTTGTGTAATAGGTTTACAAACTTGGTACTTGCATGCAAAACTAGAAAATAGCAAAGCAGCGGGTTCTCCTTGGAGTATGAATTTGAAGCCCAGCAGAACAGGCTGCAGTGCATCCAGATGAGTTTGTTGTGTGAGTTATGGCTCTCTTCGTCAACTCTGAAACTCACCACTTTCCATTCCAGGTAGAGACCTTCTTCTGTGTAGAGCATATAGTCAATCCTCCTCCCATTTCCTTTCAGTGATGCCTTCCTCCCCTTTTGGCTGGAACTGTGGTTCTTGCTGGTGGGATAGACTAAGTATCCTTTCCTTCCTTCTTCGCTTTCCAGCACCCTATTTCATTAAAAACCAAAACAAGTTGTTTTAAATATTTGCTCATTCTGTCCCTTCGTGCATTGCACTAGGTTCTCTCCAAATTCCCGGTACAGGTAATGCCTGTCCAAAAGGACTGTTAAACTTGCAAAGCATATCCTCTTCCACTGTGGGGCTGTACTAACTGCCGACGGGGCTCTTAAAGCCTCATGGCAGGTTTGGCATCGCTGGTGCTGTGCTGGTGGACCTACCCCTGCAGCCAGGAGAACAGATGTCTGAGAGGAGAACCTTGCCTGCCTGGATCTGTAGTACATTGCAGCCCACAGCCCCTCTGTTGATTTCCACTGTTGCTGAATCTCGCAGAGGAGGAAACTGTTTCATGGATTACTTTAGAACAAACCTGAGCACTTCGATACAAACCTCTCCATTGTGATCAGAGCAACTCCTTCTGAAATTAAGACAACGAGCTTTACAGACAGGGTATTGATGAGGAATGGTTTTCAGGAGCACACATTTGGGCACGTGGTAGTTGGTATTGAGCAAGCCTCAGCATCAGATTACTGTGTCTTGGACCCCAAGCTCTTACTTCACTAGCAATGAGAGCCTAACTTATCTGATTCCTGTATGTGACACTCTGCAAAGTCCCCTACAGAGATGGACTTACTTGGTGGGTGTGTTAGTGCCGCTTCCATCTTGCAAGGGGATTACCCAGCCCAAGACCATATACAGCTGCAGTCATGATTAAGAATCAGTTTTCTAGGTACCAGTCTCGTGTTCAGGCAAATAAGCTGCAGCTCTCCCATTAAATTTTTTAGTTTGGGTGCTTAAACCTTAACAGTAGGCTTTATACAGAAGACTATTAAGGCCCCCAGCAACTTGACCTAACTTTGAAGTTGGCCTTGCTTTGAAGATGACTTTGGACCAGATAACCCCCAAAGGTCCCTCTCACTCTATTTTTACAATAATTCTATGTTGCTCTGCTGTTCTGTATTGTTTTGCTGTTGTATTGAATTTAAAAGGAAACTCGGTTTACCTTTTTGTAGTCTATTTAAAAGATCTACCAAAGGAGCGCCAAAGGCAACAGACAGAACGGTGCGTGCAAAAGCAGGAGCTGCACACGGTAACTGCGTGTGTAAGGTATTATGCGGCAGTTAGTATCAATCGCAACTCTTTTGCATGATAACTGTGCATGCGGAGAGGGACAAAATCAGGTTGTGGTTTTGCTGTCATCTGGCTCACAACACAAACAAACTACTTGAAAAACCACATCCTTAAATCATTTTCCTTTACTTACCTGCCAAAACCTGAGCTCAAGGTTCTGTGGTTTCCCTTGTAAGAGTTGATTACGCCATTAAGCTACATCATCAACTGTCGCAGGAGAAACACTGAGCCATGAACTTGGGTCCTAGCAGGTACAAAGCCTTTAATTTCACCTTGGAAAAAAATAAGATATTTTTGATCACCCAGTTTTTAAGACGTGACTTTGGATGGGTTTTTATGGGGTTGGGTTTAGGAATTTTTTTAATGCATGCATGCGAGAGTACAGCATGAAGGAAAAACAAGAGACAAACACCAGACTCTCGTGATGTGTTTTAATGTTTGAGGTTCAAATGGTTTCTTTGTCAAATTTTGTCTCTTTGGAAGGATCTGAATGGTGGCAGAGGGGACACAGCACTTGAGCGAGTTGATTAGGTCTCAGTAGTATTACAATTTGTAAGTTTGCGTCAATTGGTACATACAAGAAGTACTTTACGTGCCTTCGAAAGAAAACAACGATGAGATTCTGGTCCTATTCCATAAATGGGAACTTTTCTTAACCCGCTTTGGACTTAGAGAGGTATTGAAGATTCTTAGAGTTTTTTGTAACCAGCTTATGAAAGTAAGCTTTCTTTTATATATTACTCAGTTTTAGGCTGTCATCTAGTAACTCACATTAAATTAGCTTACTGCCTGCACCTCATTTGCAAGCTGATTCTACAAAGAGCTACTGCACATGATTCACTTCCTAAAATTCTTTTTCTAGGTTCAAGAAAGCAAGCTCTTTCATGGGGCTGACCTCTTTCAAAAATTGTATTTATATTTGGCAAAGCTAATTAAGTAACAAAGTAGAAAAAACTGCTGATTAGTGCTGCAGTACTACTGCAAAAAAAATCTTATTTGCGTTAATTTGAAAGATGAATTTGTTTTAGCTTCAGTTATGTCCTTTTACAAGTCTGTGAACGCTGGGTATTCACTTAGCCTGCACAACTGCTCACACAAGGGAAATGTTAATTTTAAATACATGAGGAAAACAAACTGTCAATGTGCATGCATCTGCTTCTGACTGAAACTTCTACCGCTTCTTACGCAGTGGTTTGCCGTTTGTCTCTACAGGAAGTAGACACAAGTACTGGACATCTGGTTAGGCCGTGCTAACAGTTAAATGCTAACCGTTTAAGTGAACATAAGCAATTATGACCAAGTTGCACAGCAAAATGTGGATTTTGTCAGAATAAGTGTCTGTCTTTGTGTCCTATGAATTAACAGAGGATAAAAGTAATTGGAACTTGTATTTTTTCCTTGAAACCTAACTCCAAACCAGCTCTCTGGCCGACGGTTTGTTTGTAGTGCTGCCCATAGCTGGGGTGAATGAAGGAGCATGAAGAGCAGTATATGTAAGGGAGCCTTAAAGCAAGACTCACTCCCTCCTCATAAAGCTCGAGGGACCATCTCTCATTCAGGCGAGAAGCACCCGAGTTATGGAAGACTTTCTCTTACTGATATGGCAGCCTGTTGCCCACAACTGTGAGCCACTGTCCAGCGGTGGAGACGGGAAAAATTTGCATTTAAATCTTGTTTCTTAACTAACTGTGCTGCAATGTGCTCGCCTGTGCCAGACTCCATTCAGGGTTTTGGAGACGAAACTGGGCTTATCCCAGTGCTTTGCCTGGAGGTGAGAATCATCTTTGTGAGACGACATTATTTGTGTGCGTTTCATGAAGCCCTTCTGAGCAGAAGCTTGTGCAGCTTCCAGCACTGTGGCGGGGCCCAGATTGTTACATCTAGCTTATTAATTGTTCTATAATTATAAATGACTTGCTCATTATTTGTACCAAGTATGTTCTTCTAGTCTGATGTTTTACATATGCTGTACTTAACATGAGATATTTAAGAACTAGTTGTTCTGCTGCTTTTATGGCATAATTAGTTTAGTAATGTGAACTAATTAATTTTATTTATAAACTAGAGAAGAGTGCTGATGAAGAAATAATTCTCTGAATAGCTTCCACTGCCAATTTAAATGTCTGTTTTAAATGTCTGTAAAGCTTGATCGAGGTTTTATTATTGAAAAATAATCCATTTTAGGATGCATTTTGGGCTGTACTCTGTTTTGCTGTGTATATGAATGATACTTGTTAGCTAGACAGCGCTCCACAGCTTCTGTGCTATTTAACATTTAAATGTCTTTAAAGCCCAGATTCCATTAACAGCTTTACATTTTACCGAACCCATTGGCAGTTTTTATGTTTACCAGTCCCTTGCAGCGATGGGAGGACAGACTCTCCTGGCTTCTCATGGAAGCGATGGCTTCTCTAATATATAAGCATGTCTATATAACGTACACATGCAGATTCCTGTTTCCCTGCAGATCTGCATAAAAAGCAGGTGGAAATTCTGGTCTAATAGAGGGTTTTTTTCATCAGTTTAAGAGAAGTGTAACGTATTGCAGAAAAACAAAAGCCACACTTAATAGGCAAAAAGTCTTATGTATATTCTGTTACCAACACTCAAGAATATTTTCCAGCGCTCTCATACTGAGGTGCTGTACATCCACATAGGTAGCGGCAGTAATACTCCTAAATCTTTATTGATCACTTGATGGCTCTTTATCTATCAGTCATGTATTTGTCAGTGGAACTGAACTGCTGAATACAAGTAATTCTTCAGGGAATAAAACAAAATACGCCAAAGCAATTTTGCAACAGATTGTCTCAAAAGGCTGCTTGAAAACACAGCAGGGTTTTTTTGGGTTTTGGGTTTTTTAATTATTTTTTTTTTTTTAAAGAGCTCCAAGCCTGGTTTTGGAACGATAAAATAGAATGTTACACCCACATACAGATTTGCATTTGCAAACTTGATTGTAGGGCCAAATTACCTTACTTTTGCTTTCCAGAAATCCCTTTCACATGTACCAAATTCACGTTTTCAACATGTGACTAGAAATGCCTGGAAATTTTGCAGGCTCTCGAATGCGCAAGGCATGACTTGCTGTAACAAAATTCATTTTAAATATAAACTAAACACAGACCTTATGTCTAGAATTCAATTTCTTTGTTCAAAACTCATACAAAGAAGACTTCAAGGGGTAGCCTCACCTAATACATTCAACTAAGTGTCCATCTATACCATGCAGTGTACTGTACTTGCTGAGTAAAAATGCCAGCATAAACTGTGCCTATATAGGGTACCATTTCCATTATGTCTGTTAACTGAAGCATCTGCACAGACTCATCAATTCAAATAACTTTATCTCTTTAGTATATTTTGGTAATGAACAGCTAGAACATCTTTTATAGTTAGTCATGATAATAACTTATTTAGTCCATTAAACTAGCCTTCAAGGTCAAGCAGGTGCAAAAAGGATTACCACATTCGTTATGTGCTGCTCTAAAACATACAAAGCTTATTAATTTCTCTCTGCTGCATATTACTTAACAAACAGTACAAGTATTCAAGAAATTTATCTTAAGACTTCTGCACATTAAGTTTTTTTGTATTTCTTGTAAGTCCACTAGCTCAAACCAAGGATACCTGTTTCTCAATACGAAACACTCCTTAAAAGTAACGCTGCAGTACTATTACTGATAGATATAAAGCCATATTCCTAGTTATGTCTGGTGCACTATTGAATTCCTTTCTATATTGGTGAGCTTGCTTTTTTAGAGGTATCAAATTCTGCAAGCTTTCTAGAATGGGTAATTAATTTTTGGGTTGGGAGAGGGTGTTTAAACTTTACGGGTTTTTTATTTGAGGGAAAACTACGTTTCCTTTTGTTGCTGTCCTTTACAGTGCCGTGACCACAGAAGTGGCTGCCTGCAGGAGGACTTCAGACAAGCTGTCCGCGTACCCTTTGCGGTAGTGCTCGGAGTTTCTCATCCTGTGGGCCTGTCCAGGTAGGACCAACTCCAGAGACATCAAAACACTGACTGTAGTTGCTTTCATCTTTTCACCCATTGAAGCCAATTCTACTAGACTTAGAGAAGTACTCACTTCTTCTTCCCTTTTTTCCTCTTCCCCAAGTACCCCTGAGTGAAAAATCATGTTTGGTGTTTTGGTGGTTGTTTTTTTTTTTTTAACAGTCCATAAAACACCCCTCAATTTGTGAAACGTTAAATAGCAAGCAACGAACTAGCTTTTTAAGGAATTGTCTAAAGCATGTGGGAGGATTAGGAATTGCATACTTCTGTAGGTTATCTGGAGTGCACACTTCTTCATCATATAATCCTTCAGGATCCAACAAGGTACCTGTGAACAGAAAGGGAGATGTGACTGTCCCACCATACCTCCTGTGACTTGTCTCTCGGGACGCTTCCAGAGGCACAAGTGTGTGAAGGCAGCATCCCTGGGGGGCAGAGAATTGCTCTCTGACTGAGAGCACTTGGTGTTCACTTCTCCTGTGTCCAGACCTCCCTACCGCCTGCTGCCTTTCAAAAAGTTGCCTCTGCCCTTCTAGTTTCTCAGCCCCAATGTCTTTGGTTTTTTGCTACAACAGAATAAAGCCACATATGAAACAGTTCCCTGTTCTTGCCTTCACAGTTATAATTGGTCCTCTAGAGAAAGTCAAATTCCTGATCTAGAACTTCACCAAATTCAGCTGCGTTTCACCAGGTGTGAATATCTCGGGGCTCCATGAAATCTTTCATAAGATGAACCCTACACGTTCGTAGTGTTGTTGAATTGCTTTGTTACATCCTCACCATATTTATAGAACACCAAATGGAACATCCTGATCAAAAGCTGCAGGCTTTCACTGCATGCAGAAAGTACAGAAACAGTAATTTGGCTTCCCCCCTCTCCCCCCACGTAATCTAGAGATTATTTTTAAAGTAGAATAGGTGTGGGAAGGCATTCAAGTAGCTTGATGCATAAGTTCTAGAATGTGGACTGAAGTTTGAGATCTCTGTTTGGTTCTTAATTATAATTCAACCAGACACTCTTAAGGTTTATAAATGTTACAGAAACACCCCTTGTAAATATTTGGTCTCCACCAAATTCTTACTGCCAGTTAGCTGAACTACCTGCTGCTCATAGATGTTGTGTGAGTGACAGACAAGTAAACGTTCATACACTGATAGCTCGAGAAGGTCTTACCGATTGCCCATGGTTTATCCTCCCCAGGACCAATTCGACATGGGTCTTTGTAGTGTGTAAACAGAGAATGCTGTTGCTCCAGCTTGTCCTCTGCCGGGAAAGAACAAGCCCAAGAAAAGGCACATCAGCTATGTGTTGTGAACCTGTGGACAACTGTGGGCTCTGCCACAACAGAAAAGGCAAGTCCTCCTTCCTACTTGGTTTACTACATATATAGGGTTGATTTGAACCAGTTCAGTAGTAGCTTTACTGCACAGCCGTGTCTTGTCTTCATCAGAAATTCCAACAAATGCTTGCTAATAACAGTGCCTTCCTACAAAGTCTTTCTGTGAAAGACATTTTTTGGTAGTTTCTAGCTGTAAACTAAAGTTAAAGTTTTCCAGCATATTTCCTTACCCTGCCATTGACACTGCATTGCTTACACTGGTACAAAACTTTTGTTGAGATAGATCACGCAACGGAGAATTGGACTGACTTCGCAATGGCAATGTAAATGGCTGTTTGTGGGTGTATATACACCTCTCAGTACGTTTGAAAATAAAAGCTTGTGCTTTCCTTGCTTCAGAAGAATTTACTGACTGAATGTTTTCCAAGCTATAATAGATAAGAGAAAGGACAGGTAATTGATAATTTACTTGGTATATTATGTACAGCATTAAAGCCCTTTTAAACATAATCGGCATGACCTAGAACTTTAAATTAACTTCTTCCTAATTGCTACTGTGTTGCTTGCATTTAAAGCATACAGTGCATCAAGCCCCTAGGATTATTTAGTAAGATATTCTGCAAAAGTGTATACATCAGAATTTCAGACACTGAACAAATAAGCAAGTTCTAGTTCTGTGCATGCTGTTTAACATAGCAATCATTATACCTGGGAAACAAGCAGAACCGGAACTTGAAAATACCAGCTGCTACAATTCCGTTTTTGTTAAATGGCAACAGCTCCTGATAACTAACTTTCTTTCTTGCAGCGCTTACACCTTTTACAAGGTGAAGACTTCTTAGCAACACTTAGAAGCTCTCTCTTGGGATCAACAGAATATTCACCTGTGTTTGGAGCTGCCGCTGTACCATACTTGTCACTGTCTATTGCCAAGACAACAGAATATGTAAGTACATATGAAAATGGACTCCTGAAGTCAGAAACACAACTTTGAACCATCAGCTGTGTATCTTGGACAGAATGCAGCTCACACACTGTAGGAATCACATTAGATCTCCTTGTGTAAAATGCTGTTCTTGCCAAGTGAAGAAGCAGTTGACCTCTCCCTTTTAAGAAGGAAGCAGAACACAAACGTGGAGTACAGTAGCACTGTGTTCATAGCTGTGGGCACTTTTGCCATTTTGTTATTAATAAGTCATTAATACAGCTGACTGTCCTTCAGCCACTGCATCCACAGCAGCTGATCTGTCTCCTTACATCTTTCTAGCTTCCCTGCACCACCCTTGCCCCAGCTGGCTCTCCATCTTGAGAACATCCTCATAATTGCAGGGAGACTGAAAAATGCATTTGCCAGGGTATCCTGGAGTTGTGGCAGAGGACGGGAGGACTGACCCTCCCGAAGATTTGCCAGGTATGCCATGCAGAGAATTGCTCTTTCTGTCTGAACAGCCAATTGGTTTGTTTAATGTTTGTGGAAAAGCAGAAGATGAAATCTGTTGGAATTGTTAATTTCTCCAAGTTTTCCCTTGTTAAATCATACGTCTACAAAATTTCCCTCAAAAAACAAGATAGATTAAAATTTTGTCATGATTAATTTGCCATGGTGGCACTGACAGCGACAAGTCACAGCTGATGAGACAAACATAACCCATCTGACTGGAAAGCTTTTTCTCTTATGCTAAAAGGTTTAAAAACATAAAAATAGACTTTTACGCAAGTCAGTCCAAAGCAACCTGACGGTAAGTAACTTTCTAATAATGTTCCCACTAAGTGGGAATTCACTGTATGAATGTTGTCACAATGTTCTGTAAAGCTGGAGCAGAAAACGGAGTTGCAGAAAATTTGTCATAAGCATAAGGTCACTCACGGACCTGGAGCGCTTTGAAAACTGTACTGTCAATATGTCTAAGAATAGAAGCTTGATATTCATTGAAACATTAATTACATGCTGTTTCAGTCTGTGGAGTGGGCAAGAATACAGAGAGTCATACATGGAATTACAGGAAGCTGATTATTGCTTTAAAAAAAAATTAATCTTGAGAAGTTCAATTCCCTTTAATGCTAACAAATGTCCCTAAAACAATGAGTAATGTAAAAATGGAGGAGAAAACTTTAAAACATTGCATCAGTCTTGCTTAGTGCATAAGGAAAGCAAGCAATCTAAAAATAAAAAATGAAATAGCTTAATTTCAGTTTCCAGGCTGAGTGAATTTGAAAGGGGAAGAGGAATGTAAATAAGCGGCAACAGACAGCAAAAATAAAATGGATTTTGATAACCTACTTTTCAATCCTCTTTAGTAGTAGTTGCAATGTTTACAACTATTATTTGCAAAAGCAAATTGTTGTTTTTACTTTCTCTTGAAAAAGACAGGTCACAACAGTATTAATTCTGCTTGTGCAAGATCTTGGTTAGAGTGCCCAAACTTCTCAGGGAGAGAACCCTGACCGTATGTTCCGTCTCACAGCTTCACTCCCGTCTCTCTCCCCCCTCGTGCTGCATAGCCCCATTTGCTTTCGATTTGGGATCTGACTGGGCAGTCTCCCCTTTGGTATGCACCGGATCATTTATTTCCTTGATGGCCACCTTTGCCTCCAGGCCACTCCATCCATCCAACAATATTGCAAGTGAAAAGATCAAATCACAGCGGATGCATCCATTTGTATCCCCCCGCTCCTGTCTCCCTTCACCGGGACTGCTGCGGTTGCCCCCTCAGCCTGTCGATGTAGCAGCTTGGCTAGCTGAAGGCCTGTTACTGACCACATTTCTTCCTTCCTTCCCTAAAAAACTCACTACCACTGCTACCGTTATCTTTTATCCTAATAGGTGTTTGTTTAACTACAGTATTCTGTAGCCATTACCACTTACTGTTCACCTCCACAGTGCATAACGGATCCTTCTACCAGTCAGAGCACTTGCCTCCTCAGACCATTCCGAGTTTACTTTGGATCATGTAGTTGTGACCGATTTATTTTTTTGTACATATGAGCTAGAAATGAACAACAGAAGGGCTGTGTTCTGGTGGTCTTTTCTACCCAATTAAACGTTTCTCCAACTTTGCTAAAATCTTCCAAGTGTCTGATACAAGACGAGATTAGAGAATACTAGTTATTTTTGAGATCAGACAACGCTTGCTTTTTGTTTCTTAAAATTATTTTTGGTACAGTTGTTGCTGTCAGCCTCAGTGACCTGAGCTGCTTACGAAGACTACAGAATTCACACTAGATGCTGTTTGCAAATTCACCTGTTAATCCACAAACTCTAGTCTGAATTGCTGGATCCCACTTTGAAAGCTGCAGCCTGAGCTCACCTGTACACTGCACATCTCCCTGGTAACACAGCCCAGCCGAAATCCCTCTGCGGAACCCCCCTCACTGTACCTGCCTTGTGCTCTTTGTGTCTCCGTACTTCAGTTTTGGCCCAGTCACACAAAGAGCCTTTTAGCCATCAGCCTTGCGGGCGGCTGGCCACTGGGCACTGCTCATCCATTTGCCAGCTCCAAACCAGCAGTGTCAGTTGCCATCATGTGAAGCCAGAAAGGAGCTCTGCTGGATGCCCGAGATGTACCGAGCAGGAAGGCAGAGAGGAGACACAAACACAATGCTCTGCACTCCATGTTGGCAATTTTAAGTGTTAGCAGAGCGCAATATTTATGTCTGGAAAAGGCTACCATCTCTGTGAACTCACCACCCGTTAATTACGGTTTTGTGGAGCTCTTTTCTAGTACCCTCAGCATCTAAATATAGAAAAAAATATTAAAAATTTATTAAAATAAAAAACCCCAGAAGTACAGAGCATCAGTTAATTTTTTCCACAACTGATTCAGTAATGTTTAGTTCTCTCTGCACCAGCAATCTCCTGTGTCTGTGTATATGCACTATCAAATTATTTTTAACCACATGGATTTACTACTTATTCCTCCACAAAAATCCCATAACATGCATGTCTTTCATTAGTAACTAAAATTCTAGGACAATAGGTGTCTACCTAATTCAAGTAAAGCTAAACCACTGGATCTGTCCTGATTATTGCTACGGCAAGTCACAAATTATTGCCCTTTGTGCCTTACAAAACATCATGCTTAGTAACTGAGCAGAGCTCGCAAGTGTGTACTACTCTCCTTGTCTCATCTCAAGGCTAGTACCTATTTTAGAAGTAGCTGTAGCAATCAAGTCTTTCCTTGCAAAAGCCAGTCACAACTTAGTATACTGCGGTAACCCGCAGGAATCAAGAACTTTCCTATTCCTTTTTGGAACAGGTAGACACTAGGAAAAGGAAAACCTTGTCTTACCAGAGGAGCAGTTATCAAAGTTGAGATCTCCACAGATGACATCAAAAGCCACCAGCTCCTCTGGATTGGCTGTACTGGAGGAGGAGGTAGATTTTCTGAATTCAGACAGCCAATCTTGAAGCATATCCAGTTGCTCACATCGAACAGTAGTATCTCCTGAAACAAATAAACAACCAACCAAACAAGAAGTAAGACCTCCTTTTAGCATGTTACTCAGCCACCTGTTAGTTGCTACGCTGGACATCTTGAGAAAAAAGGTGCAAGATAAAAAATCATGTGGCTAATAGGATACTTGGTACGTAGTGTTTAGTTCATTATGAACCGCGCTTTTTGATGATTTAAATATCTCCTCTGGAATCAATCATACTAGGCACGTCTGAAGAACTGAGAAGACAAGGCATCTGTGCTGCAGCCAGCCAGCCAAAACGATGATGTTTCTAGCCACAGGAGGAGGAGGATCTGATGCACTACATTTATAGTCAGGAGTTCGGAGTTAAAATCCTACTTCAGGCAAAACTGGACAGGATGTTCTGGGGTAAACCACTTGAACTTGCTTTGCCTTCTAATTTTTAAAAATTTAACTTTCAAGTGTTATTAGTAAATATAAATCAATGACAAATTTAACTTCCTCATACTGTAGCAGTCCATGCAAAGAAGGGTTCTATTTGTGTTCCAAGTAAGAACGCCTAAACTCGGAAGTACTTTTTTTTTGTATTTTTAAAGGTATGTGTAGATAGAGATGCAGGTAGGCAGTACTTCAGAAATAAAGAACCCGATCCTTTTCACCAATTGCAGGGAAGTTACACTAGGCTGCGTGTGCTGAGGCTGTGCCCCAGTTTTATAGGGGTGATATGAAAGGGCTGAGACTGATTGGTTGCCAAATATTTTTTTGTTTGTGAAACCATCTGACACACAAAAGAGCTCTTTAATTATAGCAACTAACCACACTTAATTTCAAGCACATTAGGTGACATGAAGTCTAAGAAAAAAATTAATTACTGGCTCTCTTAAAATGATTACAGCAAAAGTGTGATGTGGGGAAGGGAGCAGGAAGAGACACATTTTAGAAATAATTGTTTGCCATATTGTCTTTCCTTTTGTTTTGTTTTCACTGTACCTATAGGTAACAGTTACAGTTTTGCTTGTTGCAGACTTGAAATGGTATGTTAAGTCAGAACAACATTACTTTTCTTCAAAATAAAAGATTTGTTTTCAAATGCCACAATGGGAAGGAAAAGCAACAAATCCAGAATTACTTATTCTGACTACAATTTTATTTTAACCTAATTTACTCTTTTGTGCTAGCTGATAGAAAGGTGTAAAACACAATTAGAAACATTAGTTATGTATGTCCAAGGCAGCTTTCAGTGGCCACTATGGAGACGGTGATTATTTAAGGCAACATCCTCACAGCTTGTTAATCACTTGTCTCAACTGCAGCTGTCACCAGCGCTCTTTATAGACTTTTAATATGTGAACTCCGCAGCACACTGTAACTGCGTTAGCATACAGACAAACTTTAGGCATTAGGACTTCATTTTCCTACCACTATTAACCTGTGAAGGGGAGGGGTTAAAACAACAATTAAATACAAACTAAATCAGAAGTGTTCAGCCAAGCATGATTTGATGCAATCTTAAATAATTAAAACAACTATGGAAAAGAACATGACCAGGGAAAGAGAGCGCTTTAAGTAGGTTCTGACACTGCCTCATCTCTTCGGACTGGTAATTCCAAATAATCTGATTTTTTTTCTTCCACTCGTGTTATTCCCAACAAATCTTTACCAGTTGGGCTGTAATAGAAAAGCAGGTACAAGTGCTTCCTGGATCTGTTCCCTAACCTACAGTTTCTAGTTACTTGGACCTCAAGTTCACGTAGTACCCTAATCACACAGCTTGACACAAATCCAGAGCAGTGTATTCTTGGGAAACCCCCTTGCTACAACAGCACCAGAAAGCCCTACAGTGAAGACGTAGCTAGACAAAAGCATGAGAAATAGGTCACGTGGAATAAATACAGCCTGGAGCAGGTGACACTAACCACAAAAGGTGTGCGTGACTAACACATACAGTCTGCAGAACTGAAGATACAGGCGAAATTACAGCTTCATGGAAAGCATGAGCTTGAAAGGGACCTCTGGAGATTGTCTAGTCCAACCCCTCTGCTCCAGCGGGGTCACCTACAGCAGGTTGGTCAGGACCGTGTCCTGTCAGGTTTTGAGTATCTCTGTGGTTGGAGACTCCATAACCTCTGGGTAACCTGTTCCAGTGCTTGGTCACCCTTGCAATAAAAAACATTTTCCTTTGTTTAAACGGCATTTCTTCCGTTTCAGTTTGCACCCATTGCCACTCGTCCTGTCACTGGGCCTTGCTAAGGAGCGTCTGCCTCCATCTTCCTTACACCCTCCCCTTGGGTATTTACACACTTTGGTAAGATCATCCTGAAGCTGAGCAGGCCCAGCTTTCTCATTCCTGGTGAAGCTTACTCAGATTTGTGGCCTGTCTTCCTTTTGCAGCATCTAAATCTTTCTATGCTGTCTCATCTCCTTAGGCCAGTACTTTCTTCTGGCCTGCCTTTGTCTTAAAGGTCTTTCCCAACCTAAACGATTCTATAATGTAACTTTTAAGCATGGTGTTTGTTGACAAGAATGTAGTAACATCTTGCTCCCCACAAAGTCCCGATTATATAAATTGCTTAACTGACCAAGATCAACGCTTACATCCGTGAACTGTCAAGGTTTTTTTGCATTTTCTGTGAATTACCCATCTAGCATGGCTTCACTAGGATGAGTGATAATGTGGCTGTTACCATATGGGCATAAAACTCGGGCAGCAACCTGTCACAGATCAGTGTGAAGAATGTAGCGAACCCACTTAACTGAAACACTCAAAGGTAAAATTCTCCAAAACAGAAAACTCTTGAGAAAAACAGAAGACAGACAGGCAGAAACATTTTAGGAAGATATTGTAAAAGGTGTCTGCAACATGCATTGTTGTCATTAAAAAAGCATTAACTACATAGTGATATACATCTTCCTCGGTAAGAATGCTGAGCCTTTGTCGCAGCACTATACACCAGATGATAACCTCAGGGCTCTACAGGAAAACAGTAGCCTTGGAACTCTAGAAACAGATGACTTTTTCATTTCTTTTTCAAAAAAGTGTAGAACTTGCGATAGTCTGGCATCTCTGATTATCCCCACTAGAGGTCATGGAAGTAATTGCACTTCAGTACACTACGTGGAACGTCTGCAATAAAGCGAGCTACGTTTCCATGGCAAAAGACGGGATCCTCTAATGTGACTTGAATATAACTGTTTTCTGAGGTTTAATATTAAACTAACGGTATCCAGCTTACTGCAACTACACAGCAGGTACTGCATGTATCTGTATGCAAAAGTTACTAGCGAGACTCAGTCTTGCCAGCTCCCAAGGATCAATAGCTTTGGAGACGAAGGGAACTGAACTAATCAGACACCTAAGTAGAGGAGAAGCCAAACCTGAATCCCAAACAATCAGGGGAGCGGACATTTCAGAAACTGCTGCTGAAATGCAGTAGCATCAGTGAATACTAACAGAAGAGAACTAGGTAGTAACTCCCAACACTAACATTCAACCACCTCCTCCAGCCTTCAGCTCTAATTAAACATTCAGACAGAATCACTGATCTGACTGACTGCCACCAGCGATTAACCATAGAATACAGATTTGTGCTAATTGCTCTACTCCCTTTTCCTCAGTAACTGGCCTGGAAAAATGCAAATAATTGTGTTGTGACTGGTTCCTGCAGTCAGTATTTCTAAATTCCTTGCAAGTTCCCCTTGGCTTCAAATTTTGTGGAAGGATGAGAAGGTAGTGTGGGAAACCTCAGCCAGCATAAATACATACCTCACCTGTGTTCATTATAGGATAATCATACTTGTCCTTTCCATTCCCTTTGGGAATGCTTAAGTGAAATCCTGACTTTAGTTAGAACTGCAGGTAGGTACTGTGCTCTGAGGAAGACTGTTTTGTCCTACTCTGAAAGACATCAGAAGTAGCACTGTGGTGGTTGAACAAAGCAGCTGAGAGGCCTACTCAGAGGAAATTAAAAGATTCGGTGGAGGTTTTTAAAACCAGAGTTCTCAGCAGGGACAAGCGCTCTGGGATATATTGGCAGGGAACCTGGGGAAGATGAGCAAAAAAGCTTGTAAAGTGTAAGATGTAAAACCTAGTCAAAAGGAAAAATTGTTGCCAAGTCACAACCAAAGGCTTCGTTTTTGCTATGAGACAGGCTGTGTCACACCTGACTCTGTGACTGATTAAGCAGACCCCTACACTTGTAACATACTTAATTCAGGATAGGCTGGGAAAACAAAACCAAACCACCCAAAAAAACCAAAGCAACAAAAAAACCCCACCCTTTTCAGCTAGGTCAGGTCCCCAGTCAAGTGCAACAACTGCGAGGAGGGGGCAAGGGTAGGCTCCCATGGTGTGGATACATCAGCTTTGCTATTTCAGAAACATAGGAGGAACCACTGCCTATGGATGCTTAGCACTGAGGTTCCTCCGGATTGCAGTGTCAGAATTCCAAACACTGAGGGATCTCTCTCAGTCCCAAGCTGACTTCTGCTTAAGCTGCATGTAGGCTTGTGGAACCTGACTCTGGTGCTAGAGAAGTGCGAGTTGCCAGTTACTTGTACTGCTAATGACCACATTCACACTAAACACAAAACAGGAACGTGAACGAGGTTACGAGATGGCGCCCAGCATGCGACATCATCTAGACCTGGGCTGGAATAGCTTGAGGCTTACTTGGTTTTGATGGCTTGGTGGGGCTTCTGAAAGGCACGTCTCAAAGGGACTTGGGAGGTGGGTGGATTCTAGGCAGCAAAACCTGGCCAGAACATTAATCACTGACTAATTGAAAGACATAGAAGAATCAGGTATGCTTAACAGCCCCTTGGAAAATAATTACATTCCAGTCTCGTAAAGGATCCCTTCATTTGTCACTGAAATGCAGCTATTTCCACAGTGGAAATGAAGAGCTACTTCATAGCACCATTCAGTAAAAGCTAGAGAATTGAGAGGATAAGCTACATCTAATTCTAAAGTTTTATTGAAAAAGGTGAATGTCAGGTCTGAAAAGACAGTAATTACTCAGAACAGAGTTGAGCCAGCACATCTCTTGAAAAAAGCATTAGTAGTTCGTCCCTGACCGTGAGCAGTTGGATCCCTTCCTTTTATACTCATGTATCAGGACTGTCAAATGTAAGTTTATGTATCCTAGAAGGGAAGCCAAATTGCACTCAGCCGTGTATGACAAGATGATTTAAATGGCTAACCTTTTAAACAGTGCTTGTTTTTATAGATACCACATCTTTACATCGTTGAACTTTTTTTTTTTTTGGCTAATTTTTTTAATGTGTGAAATGTTATGAATCAGATGATACAAATCAGAAAGCACAGCTCTGCCAAACTTATGAACTTTAGTTTTCCATTTCATTACATAAACTAATATGATATATCAAAGGACAGTTAGATTCTTAAATCATTGTCTGCTCTATCTGAATGTAGTTTGAACCAGATAAGCCTAAAAATATGACAGAAGAACGTAAGTAGGAAAACGAAAGGTTGCGTTTTACCCTTGAAGAAGCTTTAGGCTGACTTTGAAAATAGAACATTACCTCTCCATTCTTCTTCATTCCCCCCCTCTTCCTCTTTAATATTTTAGGGATTTCACAGTGTAATTATCAAAGACTTAACTGAGAATAACTGACCAGCTAGTAAAAAGGAACAGACTGAAAATGGAGGTTTATAACCTAAACTAGAACAGCATCAAATCTTAGCTCCCCAACAGTAATCTCACAGTACATTACCATAATTCCAGAGTTAAAAATAGAAAACCAGAGGAGGATGTTACATTGTTAAAATGTAGCTGAAAAATTCATGAATCTTCTTTAGAACTATCCAGTCTCTCTAATGTACTTCAGGGACTGGCAGTTTTGTTCCCAAGTCTGTCTCTCTGCAACTGAAGCACTGACAAAGTAGAATGAGTGCTAGCTGCCTGACTGGGTTAACCTAGACATGCGCATAGGTTCAAAGTTCTACCATTTATAATACATTACTGTCTTGCCTCAGTCTGCAGCGTACATGCTGTCTTCGAGCAGTCTAGAAGGGCTACGTCGTGCTCTCCAGCATTCAGGAAGGAGCACAAGAATCGCAGCTGCGTCAGGTAAAACTAACAATGCCCACCCCTCTGGCTGAATGCAATTCCGATCTTATACAAAGTAAAGGTTTGCAGATTTGCCTTGTATTTTATTACTACACCTACTCTAAGTATAGAACGAATAGTTTTGATGCAAAAAGACAGGAGAGATTGGAAATGGAAAATTTTCAATAGACATGTCCAAGAATTTCAAGTATTTGTCAATTTGAATTAATGAGTGTTCAGGCAAACAGCTAAAATGGAGAAGCATCTTGGTTTCAAAAACATATGCATCAGAACACTAAAAATGGAATAAAACAACCCTCATATCTATAAAAGGTACTAAACTTTTCTTCCCTTTGCTTTCTGGACTTGGGTTGTAAAATGGAGATCTACCTCAGTCTTGTTCTGAATATTAATATTAAAAGGCGAGCTGAGTGTTGAGATACTTTCATAAAAAAGGGTCATAAAGGGTGGTAAGATGGTTGAGGAGGAACCCGACAACCCAGCGCAACCCGACAGAGCTCCATGAAATCCCAGTCTGGTTATGGGAAGTAGCAGAGTTCACATATTTCACAGACACAGAAATCTGCTATTAAAGAACATCTCATTCTTTTTTAAGATAATTCAGTGAAAATTCCAAAAAAAGCCTTCCACGCCCTGCTAAGAGTTTTTGCATTTTATTTAATGACTTTAGAAAATATTGTTTCATGAAACAAAGGACACAGAGCATGCTGTGTGATGCTGCAGTAATTTTAATAGTGGAACTGCTTTTAAACATGACCAAGAGAATTTTTCAAGGAGTGTATTAACTTGCTAGCCATTTATGTATGAAATTTACAGGTCAAAACCTAGAGAATCTGGGCTTATTCCAGCTGCTGATTTCTGATGGAAAAACTGTCTCAACTTGTATCTTCTGATAATCCCTTAGTTACGTACAAATAAATTTTAGTTTACGTGCTGGTACTCACAGTATGGGTTGTTAAATACTGTTGAGCAATGATGATAGTAATGTATTTCCTAAAATAACAGTATTTGGTTAAGAGGGAGCAAAGAGAAGAAAAGCTCTCCAGGGATATGTTTTTGTTTGTGTCCTATAATACTTAATTACTCCGAGACTGAAAATGTGAAGGTTTGGGGCTATACTTGTCTACCCTTCTTTCTTTGCTATTTCATTGCTATTTGCAATGCACACTGCACTTTGCCAGAAATACTGGAGGAGCAACGCTTGCCACTTTTGCACAAGAATACCACCAGAGGCCTAGAAATAGTGAAAAATGAAGGTGTGCAAATCAGGACAGTACCTGCAATAGCTTGCAAGTGAGTGCAGGAAATGTATCCCACAATTCTTTGGTCCTGAGGTGTACTTCCCACTTGCACCTGGAAGGGAAGGAAGACATAAAAAGGTGATTAATGGAAGAGCTCATACAACCCCACTTCCAACCCTGTCTGGGCAGCCTTTGGAGACAGTATTGACCTTTTTCACCCCTCTTTCCATCTAGCTCTGTTTTGAAAACACGCACCCACAAAACCATGAGACACACTCTGGGGCTTACTGGGGTCCCACTTGCTGCCAGCACACTGACTCCTTCCTGATCGCCACTACTTCAGCTTTTCGATTTCAATCTGCAACACATGCAAAAATGTGACTTTCTCCTGCTCTTTGCGATCCCATTGGTTCTCTGTCCCAGCTGCGTTGCCGCTCTCTTGCATCCCAGCTCTAGTTCACACGCGAGGTTCAGGCCCACCACTCAAGTGCCATAGAATACCAGTACTGTCAGCAGTCTCATTCTCGGTATCTGTGTAAGACTAGAATGCAGAAGGGAAAAATGCCAAGGGAGTCCGGGGAAAAGGATGAAACCTGAAATAAATACTGCTTTTGACCATGTTTTCTCCATTCCAGAGAAAGTTTTGGATTTTGATGGATTTTTTACACTCTTCTACAAAGGTGTTGGGGGTTTTCGCTATGTCTCAGCAAAGTGTTTACTTTCTTTGGCTCACAGCAGCAGCCCCCATGTCTGTCAACCAGATGAAAACACAACCTGCGCCCCTGCTCTTACACACAGAAGAGGCAAGGCTTCCAGGGAAGCTGGAATGTGGTATAATTCCTCATCATTATCATATGCTACAATCTTTTAAAAATATATTTGCTGGTAGACAAACAAGCAAATTAGAATCAAGTTCTGGTTTAGGTTTTCAACTCTATTGAAGGTTTTGGCAGTTCAGGACTTACACAGTTGCAAATCAAAGTTCCCAGTGATCTGCGGATCAAGATTTGGACTAAGTCAAGAAAGTAGTTTGAGCGTATGGCTTTCCTGTTGACAATTAACGTGGCAACACTGCATGGACTACTAAAGAAAATGCCCACAGAGGAAAGTTGTACCCAGGGGTCAGAAAACAAAACCGCAGAGGACTCTCCCTCACAAGGCTAGGCTCAGATTTCATCTGACACCTCTAGATAACAAGCAGAGCTCCATTTCATACAGACACAATTTTGTCAGCTTGGTTGGTTTTCTTGTTTTTCAGCTATCCAAGAACCATCTGATTCATTTTATAACTGGAGAGTCAGCTTTGCAGTAAGTGAATTTAGAAGTAATTTGTTCTCAACAATGCCTTGTTAACTTTCAGTTTTTGTTCCAGCTAGAAGAGTATGTATGAAACAACTTGCAGTATTGCATCCTCAGTCTGTTTGGTCCTCTTTTAGACAGTTTTCCAAATGGATATTGATGGTGTTCTTACTGCTGTTCCCATACAGTTAACCTGCTTCAGGGAGAGTGAAGGCAGAGGAAGCCAAGGAAAATACAGACAATCACTGGTGGATCTCACCCTAAGCCAGAGGATTCTCCTAAACTCACAAGACTGTAGCAGAGTCTCAAAGGATGTGCCGGTCTGCTGGACGGCTATTAGCGAGTACTGCAGAAGCTTCACTCCACAGAGCTCTTTCTTCCTCCCTCAGGCTGCCTTGGTCTGAATATATCACAGTGTCACAGGTGAATTAACAGGAGCGTTCTCTCCAATTTTTTATGCAACATATGCCGTTCCAATAGAGAAGTGGGAAACCATTAGTTTATATCCTCTACTATCTAGGGCAGGCAGGTGTATGATTTGTATTTTCCAAACTTAACTCAGAATCAGATTTTCTCTTCAACACTGAAAGCTGTATGTTGTAAATTCTCTAGTAGTTTACAAATTTGCAATATCTCCTGAAGAGAAAAAGCATCGTACATCTTTCAATGCTGTCTACTGTAACCACACTAAAAAGAAAATACCACACATAGTTTTCTGCCTTATAGCAAGAATGTGCTGCTTATAATCCTCTTATTGACTAAAGCAGATGGAATCACTTTCAGTGTCTCTATCCAAAGAGCAAAAAAGATTTAAGTCTAAAAGCTGAACATCCAAACATAAATTATAGTCAGTTGAGAGAAAGAAGTCAACTCAAATTGGCTTTAGAACTTCCTGTGCAGCCTTAACAGAGTGCCTGACAAGGCCTTGTACTCATCAACCAATTTGTACATAGGATCACACTCATTTCCATGAATCATAAATAAATACGTATTGTACAATGTCCCTGTGCACAGATCTATACTGACGTGGACTTGGGGTCTTTCGCTCTCAGAGAATGACAAGAAACGACCTGGAAGAAGGACTGACTGCGGCTACATGCAGGCGGATGAGCGCAACTAATGCCCCTCGGGGTTGCCGCCACAGGGGGACAGTGCCCCAGGGCTCTGCGCTTGCTAGGAACAAAGCCTGCTTTACACACACCCCTGAGGGGAAAAGGAAAGGGGCTTTCGTAAACACTCTGCTAATTAAAAATAAAATGAATTTAAAAAAAAAAAGCAAAAGCTGAAGACATTAACATAATTAGAATTTCCTTAGAAAGTGCCTGCGTGAAAGTACATCCAAAGCAGCTTGTCTCCCAGATTTCACATTTCCTCCAACTTTTTTGACTTTTGGGGCTTTTGGTTTTTGTTTGGTTTTGTTTGTTTGGTGTTTTTGTTGTTGTTTTGGGGGGTTTTGTTGGGGCTTTTTTGGAGTGGCAGTATTGATGTAAACTGCCAAGCAGAGTAATTTTTAGAACAATCATAATGGAGGCAAATATTTGTGACAACTACTAGGAGAGAAAATAAATATCCTTGCAACCTCCTAGACAATTCTCAGCTACAGTAGAAGCACTAGTATATTAAATACGCTCGGAAATAAAATAGTAGGGCAAATCTGATTATTCAGTCTAATTTGGCCCACAGATGGACAAGGACGATGGGATGTGCAGACAGGAAAACTACTTGACCTCTGGAATATTACAAGCCCTATAATTCGGCATAAAAACATTCCTTTGTGCAGCCAAATACTGTAGCTACTTTTAGACTGTTCCATTTTCAAGGGTATATTACATGGTCGTGACTCGGCCCAAGCAGCTACGTGGCAGCCCTGAGTGTTCATTTCAGCCTGCAACGTGGATCTTGGCAGAAGGTTCCACTTCCACCAAAGTAAGTCAGCACTTCACAAATACAACATCATTTTTGCAGCTTAATACAGAAGAAACTTCTAAATTCAAATTTACAAAGAAAATATATGTAAGCAAATAAGCCAGAGTGGCTCCTTCACCGTAAGTCTGACTTAAGTTCACCTCAACTGTCCTACTTTAGTAGCTCTGTGTCAATAACACATTCATTGAATTACCCTTCTGTAGGGAACTACTTCAGATACTGCGTTCTAAAAATCGTTGTATCGTCTCAGTTGTGTCATGGACCACTCTTGTATGTCTATGGAAATTTATAGGGAGGTAATATCTAAATATATTTGTAAGTTCCCAGTGTTTTAAAATAGGATAATTATTGCAAGAGGAGAAAGTTGTATGTGGTATCCTGTTAAACTCTGATGTTACCTAGAGGTAAAATTAAAGCTGAGAGAACATGTGTGCGGTTTAATGAAGAGTCCCAATTATATCATTTTGAGAAACAGTATTTTCCAATGTTATGCTGAAATATGCACAATATATTCCGATTCTCACTGTATTTGCAAAGGTTAAGTAATCAAACCAGTCAAACATTTGGAAGCTAGGAGTGGATTCTGATCCCTGTTACACCACTGAACATTACATTTTGTTAGCTGTTGGGGGGCGGGCGGGGTGGGGTGGGCAGCAGGGCATAAAAAGATGAGAAAGAGGCTTTTTTCCATAAAGGGGAAAGCCTGCTGAGGTTGTGTTTGGAATTCAAAATGCCAGTTTCTACTGCTACATATTTATATTTGTCCCCTGCCTGTAAATTAAATAAATAAGCGCAAAACTGACAGCTCAGAATTTTTATTTTCAGTCAGAGTGCTGACTGTGTTAAGTACACAAAAGTACTTGACATCAAGTACTTCTTATTAAAAGATTTCATCTGTATGCCATAGCACATGAGTACAATCTGTTGGAGAGACCATGCTGATACTGTGCTGTACTATTCAAAACTGGGTATATTCCTGTAATTGTGTACCAGAGACTTGTCCTGTATGGACTAAGGAGGAGTCTGTCCTCCAGTTAGACCGGTATCAGGTAATAAACAGATCTCATGAAAGAAATCAAGCCAACAAGGCTACGGCAGAAAGATTCTTGTTGACAAGAAAAAAATTGTAATGAGGAGCAACAGTTGAAATTTTAGAGACAGAGTGAAGAAAAGGAACTTGAAATTAAATCACATTACTTGCTATTATGGGAATTTTCTGAGCAAACTGGAAAATCTTGCACATCTCATGTTTACCGTACTCGAGTATAATAAATACACAAAGCTGCAAACATGACAAATATCTTGTCTTTAACAGTTTATATTTACACACATCTGTCCCAGCAGTGCAAAACAGTTCTATTATATCTGGGTGTCAGGAAAAGCACCAACAGATACTTAAAGAGAAAGCAGGGAAATGCTACCTAAATAGCAGGGATATTTCAATACCAGCTCAAAGCCAGCTTCAAACATGTCATTGCTGCGTTAAGAAATCAGCAGCTACTTGGAAGGAAATAACGCTTAAAAATTGGGACTGCGCCATACATAAGAATTAAAGAATCAGTCTAGATTCTCAAACACTGACCAATAATTTGTAGACAAATAGAAAAGATTTGTTATGAGGGGAACTTAACCTTTAGTGACATTTTCTAGAAGCTTCACATTGCCGGGAGGTAGCCATTCAAAAAAATCCTAAATAAAGTAGGCAGTTTCTTAAACATGTACCCTCCAATACAAAGGCTTTATACACATGCGAGGGCAAGCAATATGCCATTGCCTCTTCCTCTGTGGGAAGCAAAGCCAGGTGTGCAAACCAGAAGAGAGCTAAAATTCTGCCTTACTCCTGAAAAAAGAGCTCCACAGAGTTTATCACCTCACAATCTACATGCG